AAGAACGGAAATTATCTTTCACTTTTCTTTTACTTAATTCACACTTGTCAGGAGACTATTTAATTGCATTTATTAAACAGTTTTTATCGTATTCATTATTAATCATAGAAGAAGAAGAAGAAGAAAAAAAAGTGATTTCTATCTTTCAATCGTTTCTTTATCTTCTTTGTATTTTGTTCTTTTTTTTTCAAAGACAATCTAATTAATGAAAAAAAACCTTTTTTTTTTTTTTGGATCACGACACAATCATATTGATAAACAAATGAACATAAATGAAGAATTATAGGCGGGGAAAAAAAATAAAGAGAATAGAAGGAAAAAAAAGTTTCTTGTTTTTTTTTTTGTTGTTTTTAGTTGCAAATGTATATGACAAGCAAAACGAAAAAGAAGAAACAACACCAATAATCAACCAACAGTGAAACCAAAAAAAAAAAGACGGGAACGCCGTTCTCAAAAGAAGACATGTATAAGGAGATAATAAATCTATATACAGACACATTGTTCTGTTTGTTTACAAAACGATGCAAACTAGGCTATGTTATAATAGATAGATAAACTGTAATGAAAAAGACACAAAAAAAAAAAAAAAAAGAAAGAAGGAAACTATGTTTGTCATATTATTAGTTCTTCTTTGATTCCATCATAGGCAGTTGTTATCACCTGAGAGAAAGAATAAATTGATAGAAAAAAGTTTTATTCACATTTTTTTCTATTAAAGCTTTGACGTTTCATTGGAATCATCTCGACTACGCAATCGTCGACCAGTACTTATTTCTGATGCTGTTCGAGCTTTAATAGGTGCATCTATATTTTCTGTTTCTTCAACATCAGGTGGACCTAATTCAGAACGAACTAGATGATTAACAACACCAGCTCCAATACCATCACCTAATATATTAACTGATGTTCGAATACGATCTCTGAAATAATAAAAATTACCGAAAAGAAAATAAATATCTTTTACTTACAAAGCCCAATCAATAGCAAAAATAATTGTAATTTCTTTTGCAGGTATATTCACAGCTGACATAACTAAAAGCATTGTAACAAGACCTGCCGATGGAATTGATGCAGCTCCAACGGAAGCTACTGTTGCTGTTAAACTATTCAGAAAGAATTTTATAATATTAATATTTTTATTGTTATATATATTACTTACCTAACAATAATTAATTGACCAATACCTAATTGTCTTCCCATAAGTTGTGCAAGAAAAACAGGAGCAACAGCTTCATATAAAGCCGTACCATCTAAATTATTTCTAATGTTTTTTCCACTATATATTTTTATTTAAAAATTTTCTTACCCATATTAACCGTAGCTCCAATTGGTAATACAAATCGTGTTACACGTCTATCTAATTTTAATGTTTCTTCCAAACATCGAAATGTTACAGGTAATGATGCAGCACTAATGAATTTTTTTTTAAAATTAATGTAAAAACCACAAAACAATAATATCTTACCTTGAACCAGTACCAATACCTGTTAACCAAGCTTGAAGCATACCTCGATAAAATGCAAATGGATTTTGACGTGTTACAGCATAAAATATTAGTGGTAATGTAACTAATGCATGTATAGCTAAACCAAGTAAAACAGTTAATGCATACATTCCTAAACTTCGAGCTAATTGAAGCAAATCTTCAATTTCTAAAATTTTTCCTGCAACTAAAAACATAATACCAACTGGTGAATACCTAAATAAATAAATCAATCATAATTTTAAAAAAAAAATATTATTATTAATTACATACCACATGACAAGTTTAACTAATTTCATGACAATTTCATTTAATATAATAAAAAAATGTAACATTAATTCGCCTCTTTTACCCATTGTTCCAATTGTAATACCAAATGCACAACAAAATGTAATTAAACCTATTTATATATTAAATGAAAATATTTTTATAAAAAAAAAAAAAAAAAAAAAACGAAATTTCCTAACCCAAATAATTCGTTCCAGCAACATAACGTGTATTAAATTTAACTTTCGTTATACTCGTATTTGTTTTAATATTCGAAACATTTAGATATTCTAAGAAATCCAAAAAAACAAAAAATTAACAAGATAAATAAACCTAAATTTCAATCGAACCTCTTGTTGTTTTAACTTGTTCAAGTGCTGCTTGTATTATATTTTCAGCAAACATATTACTATAAAGAAAATTTTTCGTTTTTTTTTTATAATTACGAAATTTTTTTTCTACCGAAATAAATCAAATATAGCATCAAGTGTTGTAATTTGATCAGCTGCTGGATCACCACGGATTATATCTGATTTAACTTCAACTTTACTTGCTCGTTCACCTGGTCGAATAACTTGTACCAATATAATACCAAGTATAGCAGCAAGTATTGTAGTACAAAAGTAATATGTTAAGGCATATAAACCTAATTTACCACTCGATTTTGGATCAAGTACAGCTAAACCTATTTTTTTTTATAATAGAAAATGATATTGAATAAAAGATTTTCTTTTTTTTTTTCTAATGATATACCAGTTATAAGACTGGATGTAATAAGAGGTAGAATAAGCATTTTCAGCATACGCATAAGAATATCACCGGGAAACGAAAGAATCATAATCGTTTCGGTGGATGGATTTGACGTACGAACAAGAAATCCAAGTAAGAAACCCAAAAAAACACCGGCAATGGTCAATGTAAGAAGTAAATTATTACGTAAAGGACCAAGAAAACTTGAACAACACTAATAAGAATTATAAAAAAAAAAAAAAATTTTATTTTATTTTATTTTATTTTTTGCTATATTACTTTTGATAATCGTGATTGATTATCATCAATTCTTGTTCGTGGTGGATGATTTTCATCATTGAGCATTGCCATAGTTTGATCATGTTTTTCATCCATATTTAAAACTAATTTAAAAAAAAAAAAACAAGAATAAATTATCTATACTATAGTTAATAAATTTTACCTATTCTAATTTCTTCTCTGTCAAACGGTAAAAATGAGTGATCCTTTTCTTTTTTTTTCTTTTATTCAAAAAATAACAATATTGATATCAACTGTCAGCTTATACGTTTATATAATATCTGATAGTATTCGTAAGTATAGTTCGATCTCTCGTTCTTTTTAATGCATTCGTATTCATTTTTCAACTGCCTGTAAGTATATGTAATAACTATGCAAAAAAAAAAAAAAAAAAAAAAAAAAAAAAAAAAAAAAAAAAAAAAAACAATAAAGAGAGCAAATCAGAACAAAAGTGAGAAAGAAAAAGAAACGGAAGCATAAACGAGAATAAGCGAAAAAGAAAAAAGAAAAAGAGAAGAGAGAAAGAATTGCATTTTTTTTACTATTAAAAAAAATATATATATATGAATAGTGTTGGTGAATTTCTTCTCTTATCGTTATCTTATCGGAATACTTTTTTTTCGTCAAAAATGATAGATAATATTGCTCTAATATATTATATTTTCAGCATCAGTCCTTCTTCTTTTTTTTTTTTCTTCTTCTAACATACGGACACATACATTGAAACAATATGGAATCTAATAATGTTATAGAATAGTTTGCTAAAATAAATAAATAAGAAAAGAAAAAGTAATACATGTTAAATGCACACAAAACACCATCATTTATCTGATATTTAAGTGACAAACATACTTAATTGCTTTGCATATACCCGTCGAAAATACAATTTTGAGCTCTCAATGACATTTTTTGTAACAGAGTGTTACTAATGAAAATGGCAAAAGAATAGAGATTTGCATTCTACTTTCATAGAGCTTGTCGATGATATAAGAACAAACAACTGTTAATTCTCGAACAGGAAATTCCACTTATAGTATTCGACACATTATCTCTTAAATTCTTGAAATCTATGAAAATATAAAGAACAAATTCATATACTTAAACAGAAACCTTATGTATTTTTAAATGAAATACTTTTAAAAAAAAAATTATGCGAGAAATTAGAAAATAATTGATACTAAGAGTAATGTTTTTATCACTACGGAACTTCGTAATATATTTTTTTTTCTCTGTCTTATGCTCTTTGTATTCCTGTCAAACTTATGATGATTATCGAAACTATAGCATCCTTTTTCTTTTCTTTTTTTTTTACTAACCCCATGTCCTCGATTGATATTTACTCAACACACAATGCACATCAATAGTATAATCAATTCAATATACATATCTGATGTAATGCCTAGCCGTACTAATTTCTTATTCATTAATTCTATTGGATCGTTCATATGATCCATCGACCAAAAAAGAATATTAATAAAATGACAACCTATTTTCAATAGCCGTATGATCGAGAAATGACATATTTAATGAGACTACCATAATGTAATATAAATACGGAAATAAATTATGCTAATGTTCTCTTTCAGGTATTTTTATATGTAGACTATGTAATATTTCTCAATGCTTATTTCTTTTACTTTAAATAAATTTATATAAATTTAACAAAGAAAAAAAAAACCGAGTCAATCATTCATAGTTTAAATTATGATATCAATCGTTTCTTTTTTGTTTATGATGTTTATAATAATGATAAAAAACAAATAAATAATAATCGATGGTCATTATCATCTAATTAACAATACATATTTGTTCTATTTATTTATCTATATATATCTATTTTTATATATGAGTATTACTCTCTCTGTTTGCAGCTGATAAAAGCTAAAGGATAATAAAAAACACTAGATGGAATCCATACTGCGTCTAAAGACAAAACACCAAACGACTCCCTTTTTTTTTTTTTGTTGTGTTTTTACTAAGTGAACTACATTTATACGTCAATATGTAATTTGCTTGATAAAGAAAACTGATAATAATGTTGTTCTGGAAAGGTTACTATGTCGAAAAATGTTTACGAATATTATTCAATATTCGTTGATATCTAACAAAATCTTTCACACGAGACTTACCTCACTTGTTGATTGTGATTTTTCTTCAAAAATTCTTTTTTTTTTGTTTTTTTTGCTCTCTCAATTTATGTCACACAAAGTAGATTTAATTGTTAATTACCTAAAAAACATGTATGATACACAGATTCAAGAAAAAAAAACAAAAAGAAAAAGAAATAGAAGATTAAAGGTTGCATCAAAGATAAATTTATTGTGTATCTGTATGTGTCTCTCATGTCAAGATTTATGATTTATATAGATAATATGAAGATAACTCACAGAAAAACAGTTGCTACTAAGAAGAAGTGACGATACTTCTATTCTCGATTGTACTTGTATATATCGAAGACCTTGACGGTGATATTTAATCTCACTGTTGATGTTATTGTGTATTCTCTCTATTTATCGTTAGTGCGATACAAGAAAAAAAAAAATACTTACAATCGTTAATGCCTGTATGAGTATGGGTACTGTTGCGAACTTGTACTTTCTTCCTTGGCAATCATAAAGCAAAAGAATGAAAGAAAGAAAAAAAAAAGGAAAGAAGCCAGATCAGTAGAGAGAGACAGAGAAGATATATGAAAAAGGGAATGCTACAAGAAATAAGTAAGATGAAACAGCTGCTCATCAAGTGGACCATACGGTTTCTACAAGATGTGTACATTGCCAATTCATTGAGTTTCTTTTCTTCTTCTTTTTTTTCTTCTCTCGTTCTCACGTATATTAAAAATGCCTATAGAAAACTCTAATTAATAAGTTTCATTTTAAATATTATTTTTTCATGAAAATAGAATCTATATTTGTCAATTTATTCTTGATGAACATGTGGTAACAATAGATTGTCAATAAATCGGGGGGGGAAAAAAAAACTATTTAATACTAAAAAACATGTAAATATTAGAATAACCTATGAAATAGATAAATATTTTTATTTCATTATCTTAACCTGAGGGATATTATATTTTAATAGATTATTTTCTAACTAACAATATTAAATGATTGAGTCTTACTTTTAGAAAATATATAAATGTTAATCGATGCTTGATTTATTATATGACTTCTTATTCTAATAAATTCTATATTTCTCTTAGGATGGGTTGTTTTAGTTATTCTCTGAAGGACAATGATAAGAAGAAAAAAAAAACAAACCTGATTTCTATAAATGTTTTTATATGAATTGTGAGATAAAAATTCTCTACGTGTTTAATGATGTCTTCTTCACCTAGATTAATCTATTTCTTACTCATGAGTAATATGATACAATGCAGGTAGTACATACTAGCATATGACAAAGTTGATTAAATAGATGAAAATGATTGTCTACTATTCATTTGTAAAGTTTCAGGAAATGAATTACATTTATACATTTATTATTATGATTAAGAAAAAAAAAAAAAACAGATGAAATATTTTTCAGGGCTTTAAACTATCTACATAAATCCATTCAAGTGCTCGACCTGGACTTAATAATTTACAATAATGAAAGCCAGCTACGGATGAAACAGGATAATTATTTGGAAATCGAAGTGTTGGTGAACGTACAGTTACAATTGTTTTGCCCTGACTATCTTTGCCAAGATCAAATTGCTTAAAAAAGAAAAAGAAAAATAACAGACAGTTAATAAATCTTCTTTGATTTCATATATTCTTACCAATGGTGTCCAAATCCATAATGGACCAACATTAAGTGGACCAATATCATCTCCAATAATCATTTGTTTTCCTATTTGGTCATATCTATCTTTTGTTTTTTTTGCCGCATTTTTTAAAGCCCAATCAAGTGAATATTGATTAATTAAACCACATAAAGATTGTTCATCTGTTTGATTAAAATCATGTTGTTTACCATCAGCAGCTTGTAAAAGTACTTGTCTTGAAATCATTTTAACACGCATTTCTTCAGCTGATGAATGTGTTTCACCTGTATCAAATTGATCATTTAAATCATATATATTTTGTGTTACTGTATGAACATATAATATACAATTATTTAATGGTTTTATTAATGAACAATTATTATCTAAATGTGGAAAATATTCAGGTATTTTATAAACAATATGAAATTGATCAGAAATATTCAATTGAACTGTATCATTAAGATCACTCATTATTTTTTGTCCATATGTACTCCATTGACTACCTATTTGACAATTATCATTTGTTTTATTATAACATGGTGGTAAAAAATGATAATAACCTTCAAGATTTAATGCATTAAGATATGGTTGAGAAAATATTTTTGTTTGATTTAAATTATATTCAAGTATTGGAGTTATTGTTTGATTATTTAAACGCATATTCATATAATCATTTATTCGAATAGATAATTCTTGATGTGCAATTGTTTCATTAATTTCTGATTTTATATCATTTTTTAATATATGATCTGTTGGTTTACCTGATGCTGTATTCATATGATTCATACCTGTGATAATTAATGTAAAATGAGGATAAGTTGAATAAAAATAAAATGATTCAATAATACGTGTTACACGTGCTAAACCATCAAGTTCACCAGATAATATTAATGTTGATACGGGATAAATTGTATTTGATGTTTGATATTTACGTTGAAGAAATGAACCAATAAGTATTTGTCCAAATATTTTATTTTTATATTTATATGCTAAAGATTGTGATGTAATACCACCTAAACTATGACCACCAAGAAATATTGTTGTATTTATTGACATTCCTGATTTATATAATTTTGTAAGAATTTCATCGATTACTTTTGGACGTAATATTTCAAGTGGAAAATCATCAGGAAAAGATGGAATAGCTATCCATAAAGAATTTGTTGATATTAATTGAACTTGTTTAAGTAATGGAACATAACGATCAGGTGGTAATTCAGCACCGGGTATAAATATAAATGCAATATTATTACCACCGAGTTTTATTGGTTCAATAATAATATCAGATGAAGATGATATTAAATAGAATAGTTCGAAAATAAGAAGTAATTTTAACATGATAATTTAAAATAATCAAAAAAAATCAGAATCTGTCACACATTCGTGTGTTTTTTTTTTAGCACTGGTTTTATCTAGACACACCATTTGCTTATGAGAATAATCAACATATGTTCGGCTTATATAACAAGGGATAACAAGTACACTTTATACAAAATCAAGGTTATAGAAACAGCTCGATTAAAGTCCATCAATATTATAGAAGTTTTTTTGTAGATAGATTACATATACATGGTAATCTACTATTATAATATCAAGCGAAATATATTGAGGCAAAAGTTTTGCTCTTTTTCTTTTCAAGCAATTAAATAAGATATTGTTGTATTACGTACAAATGTAATTGACAATTTTATTACTCTTCAAGAAAATTGTAAATATTCCATTGAACTTTTGTTTTGATTCAAGGCACGATAATCCAAAATTATTAGATTGAAATTCATTTTAGCCTATAGTTTAAAAATGGTTTCATACTAGACCTAACAAGGGAACATTGCCAACTGTCAAATCGCTTTTCACATGAAATTATTACAATGCGATCGGTTATGATGAGTAGTGAAAAATCTGTTTTGTGGTTTTTGCTTGTCGAATTACGGGCGTTTTACTCAACATTTGTCCTATAAACAAAAGATCACCGACAACTAAGATGATTGAGTTTTGAATTGAAACTTTGTTTATAGATAGAAGTTATAATCAGTAGAAATTCTTTGATGTTTTAGCCAGAGCAAACAATTCCTTGCCAAGATAATTACGCCTGTTTTGCATGTATTTCAAAAGGAAGACAGTATCATGACAAGCTGATATTTCGATAAGGATTAATTTGTACTGGTTGAAACTTTGACGAGTTTCTATTTATTATAAGACCTATTTATGGAATGAAATGTCATCTATAAATCTGATCATCTAGATTCTCAATGACACCATATTCATAGGGCAAAGATCGAGTACAATGTCCATAATTCGACACAGGAAGGTTGGAAAATCAAATCATAACAAACTTGTCCATTATTCATCATGACGGATCTAATAGCAATAATCTCAATCGAAAAATGATTCTACATGAAGGAATGTTCTCTTTCGTTAGATGTTTTAATAAAATTTTATTCAAATTACATAACGAGTAGAACAGTTGTTCTGTATTCATTGTGTTTTTGATATAGTATTACAATACAATATCGTAGAAATGTCATTATTATTTTGTTGGAAATAGTACCATGTCTAGTGCAAAAATATACAGAGAATTCGATTGAGAATGTTTTTCGAAGGTCAAAAATTTTCTTTCAGAATATATTTGTTTGACTTTTTTTTTCATGATTCACTTCAAGTGTTTTCCAACATCATATATATAAATATAGCTATTCATTATGACCAATTAAAAAAAAGGCTTTCTTCTCATAGTAAAATATCTAGCCGAATAATACGAGACTGAAAAATTAAACTAAAAGTTTAATTTAGCATTTACAAAGCGAAAACAAGGTTTTATCTGAATATTTTCATAGAGAAGTTATATTCTATTCATAATAATATCTTTTAGTAGAAGATTCTTTTTTCATATAAAATATATATATATATATATATATCTTCAGACAACTTCACTTTCGAAGTAGAATTCAATTTGTTGACTGTAATCGCTAGTTATAAAAATCAATGATACAAGATGATGTTATAAAATTGTTCATATCAACTATTATAATAAAACACATAGCTTTTTTTTTTTGAGACAGTAAGAGTGTCTAGTCCTTACGTTATAAAATTTTGAATAGACAAATACAAAGATAATTTTTCTTATCGGATGAAGCTTTTGTTTGAATTCAAAAAATTTTCTCAATATCTTTTGTTCTAAAATGTTTTCTTTTTTGACCTTTCAGGAACATTGTCGATCAAATGCTTTTGTATATTTTTCCATGAAGTATGTTGCTATGTTCTAACAGAAAAGAAAAACGATGACATCTCTTCAATATTGCATTATCATGCTCTATTGAAAAACAAAATTGATGTAGAACTTTTGCCCTCATCCATTATAGTTTTCATGGTATTATTACAATCAGCAATGTAATTATGTAATATTATAGACCATATTGTCGATGGATATTTTCTATTCTAATGATTTCTTGATTGAACCGACCTTAACAACATTGTTGATAGCGATCAACTCTGAATATTATATTCATATATACAACAAGATCATCAATAAACTTATTCCAAAGTATATGTTGTGTTATATTCAATTATCAAAAAAGTGTTAAATGTCATGGTGAAATTAAAATTATAGATCTAAATAATAAATTATGTTACGAATAGTTAAATATCTATGAGTAAATGCTATTCTTTTCGAAGTGACAAATATCACACGACATATTTCACACTTGTCTTTATTAATTAATAGTTATAGATGCTCATCCTCAACACAAAAAAAATTGATGATATATGAAATCATTTGTATAGATGCAAGCAAAAATTTACTATTTTAGAGATTAAAAATATGTCAAATATTCAGGATTAGAATGATTTATTATTCTAATACATTTCCTTTAGTTTTACTTGGAAAATAAGTAACTTACTGAAACAATTGTATATGTAATGGTTTTTTTGTGGCTCCGTACATACTTCTGATAAAGATGTTTCTTTTATTTATTTAAAAGCAAAAAAAAAATACAATATTTGAAATACAATAAGAAGCGTATATCATTGTTCAACGATAATTCGTAGAACATAACATTAATGTTTTTGTATAAATAGTTTGTGTCTTATAATTAAGAATCAACCAAATAGAAAATATCATTGATTGATAATTAATAACGACAAATATGAGCCAGAAAAAGGAAGAGTGTGTACCCGGTGACTATATTAAAATCAAAGTAACCGGCTATACAATCTTCCTACAATATAATAAAACCATCCGGCTCGTTTTTTCTTTTTTCAATTAATTAAATCGACTATAATTGAACATATCAAAGGAAGAGTGTTATACCCGGTGATTTATCTCATATTCCAAATCAAATTAACCGGCTATACAATCTTCGATCGAAAGAACAATGAATCCAAAAAATAAGAAACAAACGAAATTTATTAATATAATAATTATTAAATGAATTCATTACATGATCACTAAAGCTAAGTGTAGAACCCGGTGAGGAATAATATCATTCTCAACCACAACCATGATTCCACTTAGCCTTAGTAATATGTTATATATATATATATATTCCATATCAAGTGAAGGTGCTCTCAATTAGGATGAGTGTGAGATCTAGTCATGAACTTGCAAAATCCACATAGACTAAATAACACAATCATATGAATCGGAGAGCTCTTCTCTTTTATCAACAATGATGACAAACAACAACAACAACAACATCATCATCATCATCATCATCATCAAACGGCAACAATAAACAAGACAAATCACAGCATGCATACTTGAAAGGAGAGAGAGAGACAGAGAGAACGGCTCACCATGCAATAATCCAATACTTAATTTGTATTTTCTTTTTTCAATATAGATAAATATGTATGTATATATATGTGCATTCTTTTTTTCAAGTAAAATTGATTAGATTTCTTTTTCTTGTTGATTTTTAATAGAAACTGAAATATGATCAACAAAAATAAGTACAAAGAACGACGAGGTTTTCGGCGATAGTAGATGACAATAAACGTTAAGAACAACGACGCAAATGAACCAACAGACGAGTTGGCCCGGCGATTGACCCTTTGTACATTGTTTTGTTTCTATGTACTCTCTCTGGCTACGCTACGTGTCGTTGTTGAAAAAAAAAAAGAAACGTAGAGACGAGCGAAAGCTTGTATATGTAGTCGCATCCGACCGTTGTCGACCAATGTCTAATATAAGCGACATGTTCAGATATGTACATTTCTCTTTCTCTCTCGATTTTTGACCGAACATTGACCTGTTTCTTTTTTTTTTCTTTCTTTCTTTCTTTTCTGAACGCTCTATTTTTGGTCGATACTAACAAAACTCTATATTACTCGCTTGTCTCTACGATTTGTTAAATGATAGAAATATGAGTATCGTCTATCGTTCAACATCGATAGATTTTTTTCTTCTTCTTCTTCTTCTTCTTCTTCTTTTCTTTCTGTATATATTAATCCAAACATACTGACCTTAGAAAATAAGAGTACGAAAAGACCCAACTGGCAGAAGAACGGACAACTGAATAAACAGAAAAAGATGGTTGGTTTATATATATGTTATATATCTGATGAACATATTTTTTGGCTTAAAGCCAAAATGAATATATATATGTTTTGAGTTCACTCACTATTATCACAATAGAAACCATTTAAGGTGAAATGAAATCAACACAAACGTCTAGCGGCTGTCTGTTATGTTTGAGAGTACAGTACAATTGGCTGAATCTTATGATAAGACATAACATACCTGAAGACTAATAATAATAGGCTTTGTATATTTTGCTTTCGTTGAAATAATGTTCAAACGAATTTCTTTTTTACTCCTCCAGCTAGTTCAAATGTTGAATACATTGTCGAATAGAATTAACAATAACAAGCGAAAAGTATACGTAGGATTAGGCATGTTGTTGGATGTTATGTTTGTTTGACAACGGCTTTATGTTTTTCGAAAGCTACTGAAAGCTTTTGAGTGTTTAACAGGAAGTGTAACAGCGTGCGCGCGCGCGAGAGGGAGAGAGAGAGAGAGATAGAAGAGATTATTCGGCACCAATCAATCATTTGTTGTTTGTGATGGTTTGTCTATACACATCTTATCTACTTCTGTTGTCAGCACTTCACTTGAATCATTAATGGTGATGACCGATTGCATCAATTGAATAACAATAACATATTTCAATTTTGATGAGAAATGAAAACAAAATGAAAAACAAAAACTTTTTTTTCAACTTGCACGAAAAAAAGTTTAAATATCTTATTATGATCTTTTAAACTATAACCTTTGTCTTTTTTTTTCGTACCATGTTGATTTAGTCAATAACAATAATGACTTATTTATAAAAACAAAATTT